ACTTAACAACTTTTATAATACACGCCATAAATCACAGCGATTCACAATCTCGATAATTTCGCTCTATACGAGTTGCAAAACACACACTAGCTGGAAACAGAATCGTAAATTACCCGAAACTTACTTTAACTACTGTTCGCTTTATCATCCATATATCCGCTGGCTTTTATCTGCCAGGCTTATATACTAACGAAGAGGCGTCTCCAACATTCGCGGAGTTTCCCGATAATTCGAGAAACTCAGTCAGGCAGAAATTAAACAAACAACTTAATGTAACAGTTTTTTGTTTTTGTAACTTGAGTTTATCATGATTTAAATTTGTCAATGAACATCGCTTCTGTTCTTATTAATTCTTTTTCGGACATCCATTAACAAATTATTTCTTCTAGAACATTTTATTTTATTGTAAAGACAACATCAAATATATTTGTTAAGTTCATAATATGATGTCTATGAAATATGATTTCCGGCCCATTTCCACGATCTGTCAGTTCCTTAAGTTCTGGAAGAGGGGAGAATAAATCTATGTGAGAGATCCTTCCGGTATCTCGTGTATTTACTCGAGATATCCAATCGCGATTTGAAGTGGCTAAAACTGTATTTCTAAATGTCAATCCTTAGTTAAGAAAAAAAAATTATTATGATAATTTTAATATTTCTATGAAATATAACCCTTGAGACTATGGCACTATTTTTACAATTTGACACTTACCATTGTACAATAGGCCGAACGTTAAATCAAAATTTCCGTATGAGATCGGCGGGCGGTTTTTAGCGACATCTCTTGGAATAATGGAAATTAGATAATAATCAAGAGTTTTTTAATTAAAATAAATATAATTTTTTTAGGAATATTTGTTTTATTTTATTTTATTTTTTGCTTGAATGAGTACAAACCTAAGTTAAACATAAACTATAGATTGTTACGACAGCGGAAGTCACGTGGTAACACGTGATAAGTTTCTAGAAGGATCATGACTGTTCCTGGCAACTTTAGTGTTTGTATTTAGGAATTTGTTTTAAAACGAAATTTTCGTATGTCTAATGCTACGTCTAGCATCAAAAAACATTTCTCAATTACGTGAAATTTACGCAATAAATAAGTTAAAACATACATTGTCATTTAAGTGACAGTACACTAATATCTTGTTACGTCTCTGGTCGTTTGTTAATTTCCCGTAGAAATTCTTTCCGAAGAACTTCAGCGATACAAATCCTTTCTTAAATAAAACTAGTTTATTCTTTCTCAATACAACTTTGCAATACACTTTAACTTAAACACACGCTATAATTCACAACGATTCACGCACTTTTCTTACGGTCACCACCGCTCACTTGACTGGATTATTTGTCTCTGTCTCTCTATCTGCCATTCTCCCCGCTTTATTTGCCGGGCTTATATACAAAAACAGAGGGCGTCTAGTTCGACTTTTGTGTGTCACGTGATATATTGAATGCAGTTTGGTTCAGATTAGATGTTTGTGATGTACAAATACAAAGTCTACAGTATATTATGAATTAGAAACTAAAATTACCGATATTGACAAGCCGTAACATAAAATAAAATCCTCTTTCTATTTTCTGAGATATTACTATATTTAGTGAATCAAACAAGTTGGCCCTCGCCCACTTATTCTAACTTTCTAAATGCTTCTTTACGCACATCTACTTCTCTCTACGCCTGAAGACGAAAGACTTTCGAAACGTCATCCTCTACATTTGCAGCTTTCTACAACAGGCAGTTGCTGTCCATTTCAAACGAGATCACTGTTTTTTATATTTATTTATTTATTGTTCTATGTTTCAAGAAAAATAACTGAAATTTATAAATTTATTTGTAAATAGTAATAATATACATATATCTATATAATGTATTACAACTGAAATGTGATTGTATTCTACAAAATACTGGTCCTCTCGAACAAAGCTACGCCCACCAGTGGCACAGCGGTATGTCTGCGGACTTACAACGCCAGAAACAGGGTTTCGATACCCGTGGTGGGCAGAGCACAGATAGCCCATCGTGTAGCTTTGTGCTTAATTTCAAACAAACAAACAAAGCTAAGACAATTGCCCCCTGTAAAGACCAGTTTTACATTATTCGATATGGTAATATAAAGCTGCACGTGCCCGCGTGCGACTTCCATAATGTTAGTCAGACATGGCCTAAAGATCAATAAAATATCAATAATTGATATATATAGATGTATAATATTATGAGATTTAAACTATTTAAAATATACATTTGTGGTTTTGTGTTATAATTTGTAATCATTCTAGAACGGAAAAAAAAGCGTAATTTAAATTTATTTCCTATTTTTTTATGGTGGTTAGGAATTGACCAAACTTGTCCATAGGTATTGTTTGTTTATAGTTAAGCACAAAGCTGCACAATGAGATATCTGTACTCTGCCCACCACGGGTATCGAAACCCGGTTTCTAGCGTTGTAAGTCCGCAGACATACCGCTGTGCCACTGGTGGGGGTCCGGAGGGAAGATAGATTAAATAACATCTAAAATATAAAGTTTTTTATATAAATATAAAAAGACGTTTGATAATTATCTGGAGGTTATAGAGATTTCTCTTGTGGAATTTGACAATTTTCCGATGCACTAAAGTATTTTCAATCTTAAAATCAAAATTACTTTGCATGTTAGATAGTCAACACTCGAAAAGAAGAAAATGCCCTAGGAAATTATTAATTAAAAAAATTTAAAACTTAATTTAAAAATCTGATATTTTGTGTAATAATGTCTTGTAATGTTTATTGATAATTTGCAAAATTTCGTGAAAATACACTTACATTTTAAAAGTTACAGTATAACTGCTTTATGGTTACTTTGATGTATAATCTTTGAAATATAATTTATAATTTGATACCAATCTTATTTATATACATTCATATCCTGTCATTTTGATGCACGGCATTCAAGCTATGTTTTTTGTAGGCATTATGTGTTAGAGACATAAATTCTGGTCTATTAAAAAGGAATTACGCGGTCAGACAAACAAACTCACGTAAACGTAACTTTATTTAATATAACTACACGTAAACAATAAAGCTTAGTAATGGTACCTATAATAATGTATAGAGTATTAAACAGTTATAAGTATTCAGTGTATGGCACAGTTTAACGAGTTGAAACAAAGAAATTCAGAAAAACAAAGAAAAAACCCGTAGTAAATAAAAAAGTAGCTAAAAGGTGTTTATAGCAGTCTATGAAATGAACCGAAGCTTAATTTTTGCAAAGTAAAGTAAATGTAAAGTTGTAGTGAAAGCAAACTTAGTTGAATATGCAGAAACGTCTGAATACGTGTTCACAAAGTGATAAGTATATGGTTCTGAACAAACTGCGTATGCGTATTTTAGACCTAGTTAAGTTAAGAAGGCCTATATAAATTGTATTTAGTGTAATTTTTTTAGGACATTACACGCGAGTTAAGTGTTGTTTAAAAATGAAAACTAAAGCTGTAACCGAAGACATTCGTCACGTGATGACAACGACATTGTGCCATAGTGTACCATACTCGTTACATTGACTAACCAAAAAATGGGTAAGGTGGTTCTGAATTGAAAAGCCAATATGCAATCCGGACACCTCATTTGATCGAGAAATTTGCAACAAAAGGTCCGGACAGATTGACGCAAACGTATTATATATATTTATATGCTCCTTGAGAAACACGTGAAAATATTCATTACAGGTAGGGCACTAACCGTCAAAGTTAGTGAAATAACGAGACTTTTTCAGGCCTAACAATACTGGTTATTATATCGAATGTTCACAAATGTTTTAACATCAACACAGCAACAAGATCTCTGTACCTCTCGTGCATTTATTATAACTATATATGAGTGTAAAATTTGCGTTTATTTTAATATGACAAAAATCATTGTATAGAAGCCCCCTCCCCCAGGTGGCTCAGCGGTAAGTCTAAGGTCATATAACACTAAAAATCAGGTTTCAATACCCGCAATGAGCATAGCACAGACATTCAGTTGTGTGGTTTTATGCTTAATGACAAACAAAACTGTGAATATTTGATATTATCCAAAACTTGTAAAATGTATCAAAGACACGAGCTGATAAAACTAAAAAGCGACACCTACTTTTTTATGTACACAGAATATCATACTTAAATGTGTTTACATCTATCGTAACAAGTTCGGTATTTTCAAATCATTTATTGTAGTGATTTACTAACTCAAAGCTAATTCTGTCTGTAAACTTAAATATTTAACATAATTCCTTTATCACAGCCTTAAAGTCGAGTAAACAAGATATCGTTTTATCTCCTATCCAGCCCACATTGTAGAACCTCCATACCCGAAAGGTAGAAATCCCACCCTTTAACGTTCAACTTATTGGAAAAAAAAACATACTTGTTTGTTAATGTTGTTAAATTTTGGTCATTAAGCACAAATCTACACAATGGGTTATCTGTGCTCTGCCCACCACTGGTATCAAAACCTGGTTTCTAATGGTATAAGTCCGCAAACAAGCACCTGTGCCAGTGGGGGAGGGGGGCAAAACATACTTAGTTGTAGATATTTCGTTATGCATAACCTAATATTGTGTTTAAACAATAATCGTTTGCATCATTGGTTACTTTAAGAATCATATATCACAATTTGTTTGCTATTTTGATTGATGATATTTATATTCAAGCTCAAGTTTTGGGCGTATTGATGCAAAAATATACATGTGATTTTTGTGTTTTCAACAACTGCTGAAAAGATACCGAAATCTTGTATTCATTAGCATTTGTATGTCTCAGAATCTGGAATGTTATTAATCAAATGTTTTGTTGGTTTTTATATGCAAAGTGACCATACTTGGAGTATTGAAGCCTGCTACCTTAACATGAAAAATTACCATACTTTTATTATTGAGGCCTGTTACTTAAACATGAAAAATTATCGTACTTTTATTATTGAAGTCTGCTACCTTAACATGAAAAATTACCATACTTTTATTATTGAGGCCTGTCACTTAAACATGAAAAATTATCGTACTTTTATTATTGAAGCCTGTTGCTTCAACATGAAAAATTACCATACTTTTATTATTGAAGCCTGTTACTTCAACATTTAAGATTACCATAACGGTTTTATCTTTGTCTCGTATTGTAAATTCCCTTTACTGTTTACATTAATTGAAGATCAAGTAACGATTTGGTCTCTGTTTCGTATTGTAAATTCCCTTTACTGTTTACATTAATTGAAGATCAAGTAACGATTTGGTCTCTGTTTCGTATTGTAAATTCCCTTTACTGTTTACATTAATTGAAGATCAAGTAACGGTTTTTATCTTTGTCTCGTACTGTAAACTCCATTTACCGTTTACATTAATTGAAGATCAAGTAACGATTTGGTCTCTGTTTCGTATTGTAAATTCCCTTTACTGTTTACATTAATTGAAGATCAAGTAACTGGATTCCACGGTTTTAATTTTCTCTGATGTTTCCACTATGAAACCTTTTTTTAACTTATCGACGATATCTACCACTTTTATTCCACAAAGAATTTGTGCTTTGTGTTCTCTTTAGTTCATTTTTTTTGTCTTGGATATTTTAAATTTAACTTTTGTTTCGACTTACTCGTGTCAAAAATACTGATACATATTGTTACGTATCTGTTCGTTTGTTAATTTGTGGTATAAATTCTTTCCGAGGAACTTCAGTGATACAAGTCCTTTCTTAATTAAAATTAGTTTATTTTTTCTCGATACAGCTTTGTAATACTGTTACGACAGCGGAAGTTACGTGACGCTGGTAACATGTGATGAGTTTCTAGAAGGATCGGGGAACATCACGAATAATCCAGTATTTGCTAGACGTCCTCTATTCCTGTATATAAGCGCGCCAGATAAAGCGAAACAATTAATCGGAATTGGAATTGCAGATAGAGAGATTGAAGATATATATGTAGACATGGATAGTTGAGTCAATCGGGCGGTAAGCACCGTAAGTAAAGCTTGTGAATCGTTGTGAATTATAGCGTGTGTTGAAGTTAAAGTGACTGTGGAAATTAAGTGTATTACAAAGTTTGTGACGAGAAAGAATAAACTAGTTTTATTTAAGAAAGGACTTGTATCGCTGAAGTTTCTCGGAAAGAATTTCAACGGAAAATTAACAAACGAACAGAGACGTAACAATACACAGAATATCCACAGTCACTTTAAACTTAACAACCTTTATAACACACGTTATAAATCACAGCGATTCACACACTTTACTTACGGGGCCTACCGTTCCCTTGACTCAATTATCTATCTTTTCAATCTATCTGCAGATCTATTTATCGCTGACTTTATTTGCCGGGCTTATATACCAAAAAAAGAGGGCGCCTGGCAAACACTCGGACATTCGCGGGGTTCCTCGATAATTCATGATCCTTCAAGAAACTCCAGCGCGCATGCTCCCAGCGCTGTCGTAACAATATACTTAACTAGAAAAACTGATTAGACACCTTTTTTATTTTAAATTTCCAAGAATACAAGGGTGCTAACAAAACATTTTCATTCTTTGGATACTTGACGTTGTTTCGTTGAATAATTATTCAATTCCAAAATTTATTTTCAAAATTAGATCACAAACTGTATTAAGAAGAGTAACGAGTTACTTATAATATGTGTCCAAGGAATCAAATTAAGTATTAAAAATATATTTCGTTTCCGTTGTTCTATTCTTTACTATTCGGTCTAGGTTTGACAACCAGCCGGCATTTGACCCTAAGTAACAGAGAAATAAAAAGAACGAGAAAGGTTAATCAATAGTATAGATAAATCAGACGAATTCAAAAGCGAGCATATGTCGACGAAGATATGAAATAAAGTGGTTTGTGTTTGTAAGCCTATTTATTTTTCAGTGACAAAAAGTTCCCAACTTTCCAACCTCTTGTCACCACAAGGTTCTCAGAGGTTCTCGGGTAGGCCACAGATTCATCTTATAATTTTTATGAGTTTGACAGCCATTTCAGTTTCTCCCCCTACCCCCGCTACTAGGACTGGAACTTAGTTTATTCATCTTATTGTTATTAAACTTTTTTTATCTTGTAATTATTATTATTATTATTATTATGAAAATGTTGATATAATTTTTCAAAAGATTAGAAAGCTTTAATTACGGGTAACAATAAAATAGGTCTCTGGAATTATTACAAATATGCCTCAAAATGTTATCAGCTTATGTCACTAATATAACATTATACACACTAGCAGAAATACACGCCCTCCGGGTAGGTGTAACTGCTAGTTCTTGCAGATGGCTATTGGGCCTGCGGGCCTTTCCTGGAATTGTCTGACAGTTCTACAACAATGTACTAGTCCTTGACATTCTGTAATGTTCAACTTCCATGAGGAAACGGATTTTATTGAAATTTTAGTTTAAAAATGAGCTATCATTACAGCATTACATCACAGAGGAGATGTTATTGAAGTATTTCTTTGTAGACGCAGTTATCAATGAAATTGCCTTGCTTTTCTGTTGCAACACTCATAAGATTTTCACTCAAAAAATATGTTTTTAGTTTTTTATTGTTTTATATTTGAAACGTACTCCTTTTTTGTAATTCTTATTGGTTAAGTCTCAAACTTGCTCCTCTTTTGTTTATCATTTTTATTAGCTAAATCTGAAACATATCATTTTTGTGGAAATTTCAATTGTTTTATCCAGTTATGATTGGTGATGATCAGTACGATATTTTTCGAGATTCGAATTTTTGACGTGTACATAGCAAGCTCCATTATAATAAGATACTGTTGTTTATGTAATATAACAACCAGTGTGAACATTAGGCTTACTTGTGTTCTACGTTTATGTAATGTAACAACCTGAATGAACATTAGGCCTACTTGTGTAGTTGCTTCTACGTTTATGTAATATAACAACCTCAATAAACATTAGGCCTACTTGTGTTCTACGTTTATGTAATATAACAACTTGAATGAACATTAGGTCTACATGTGAGTAGTTACTTCTACGTTTAATGTAATATAACAACCTGAATGAACATTATGCCTACTTATGTAGTTGTTTCTACGTTTATGTCATGTAACAATTTGAACGAACATTAGGCCTACTTCTATAGTTGCTTTTACGTTCAATTTTCGGAACTATGGTCCTTTCTGAATATCTGGCTGTAACCCCCCACCCCACCCCACCACCACCATCTACTCGAGGACTATGAATTAAATGATGCCCTCGGCGTGGGTACCTTTTGCTGGATTAGATTGAGAAGTGAATTGGTTGGATAAATAGAACAACAGAATAATATGCTTGGTTAAACTTAGAACCAGCTCTTCAGGTTTAGACTGAACTGAAAAAAGTAGAGACTTAAAATACTAATTTAACCTTTTACTATAAATATTTAAAAAAATACCCTTTGATTGTTAAGAGATTTTTACCTACCTTATAATTATCGCATATTAGACAAAGCAAATTCTTTTGAGCTTGACTTTCATTTTCACTGGAAAATTCCTGTTAATATATATATATATATATATATATAGTACTAAAT